CAAAACCCCAAAACCCCAAAACCCCATCAACTATGATTATCTTAAAATTTTTAAGTCGATCAATCAATCAAATTATCAGATTTATAATCTAATTACTTCTCATAATTAATATCAATCTTGATGTATAATGGTGCCTATTCCTTGAATAAAAGACCAGCCCTCTACGGTCTTGTTTTCAAAGATATCAGGGTCTAGCTCCTCAGTATCCTCAAATACTCTATACAAGGACTCATCAGGAGGTTAATCGAAATTCTATATCTACTAAAGTAGTTTCATATTGATATCAGGTTTTGGTGGTTTGAGTTGCTTAGCTTTTGCTACATTCCAATCCATTGGCTCAAAGAACGGATGCTCTTTGATTTCCTAACTTCCATCTGAACCTGCTCCTAACCTTTTTGCTGGGTTTCTATTAAGCAAACTGACAATAAGATTTTTGCACTCTTCACTTAAACTAGCTGGTATTTTCAATACTCCTTTTTGAATATTATTGAATAATTCCTCTCTACATATATTTTATTAAAATCATTCATAAGTTACTTTTTGGGTGAGAAATATGGAGGGCATCCCACCACCATCTCATAGAGAAGAACTCCAAATAAATACCAATCTACAGACTTTCCATGTCCGGCACGACGAAGCATCTCGGGCGCTAAGTAAGCAACAGATCCACAAAATGATTTGGCTCCTTTTGCTACTTCTTCGACTCCCTCCTTGGAGAGACCGAAATCGGTTAGTTAAGCGTGACCATCAAAATCAAGAACGACGTTATCAGGTTTTAAATCTCTATAAATAATATCTCTTTTATGCAGATCTTCTAGTGCCAATAGAATCTCGGCAGCATATATCCTAGCTCTATCTTCGGTAAATTTTCTCTCTCTCTATAGACACTTTCCAAGATCCCCACTATAGATAAATATTATAAATAATTCTAGAAAAAAGTACCCTGGACAAAAGTCTAAGATAAGGAATAACTTAGTATCTGTTTAGAAGGCATAATTTAAATTCACTATAAATGGATGCTTTGTATAGGATAGGACATTTCTCTCCGTTTTAGCATATCTTACTAGATTTTGACCCATGATCTTAGACTTGTTCAGAACTTTCATTGCATATAGTTAATTCGTACCCTTTTCCTTTACAAGATAGACCTCACCGAAACTGCCACTCCCTAACATTTTCAACGGCACAAACATATCTGGACCAAGTCTGATATCTTCTTTCTCCTCAACCGGTAGTTACTTCAGAGAGTAGCTAGAAGGAGTTTGTTGCATTCCTTGTGTGCTACCTGAGGAGTAACTAGCTTTATTAAAGTCTTGAATCTTTTGTGGCTATGTTGCACTCATATATGGATTTTGATTTGGGAGGTCATTCGGCTACTGCTGCCTTTCACCATTGCTATTTTGAGTAGTCCTCATTTTTGAATCCAGAATTTATATTTGCTTTGTCTAATTATTTTGTTGTTTATGCTCATCTATGCTGTATCTTGATGTTTTACTTTATTCACTGCCGCTACTATTCGTATTCAGCTATTATTATGGACGTTGCCTTTGACTCCCTAATGATGTAGATTATGCCTCTGTGTTATTTTAGACTTAGATTTATTATTGAGTTTCTTTTGCATACAAGAAGTGCTTAGCTGATTGGATGTACTCTTCAAATGTCTAAATATAAGTTAAAAATAAGATATTACCATTAGAATTTCATTTGAGACAGATAGATCTATTGGGGATTTTCCTTCCTTATTTTTAGCAAAGAGAGTTGGATGCTTCGTGAGTAAGAATCTCAGACTATCATGATGGCCATATTCTGCGCAGAAATGAGCAGGTGTATTGCCGTCTACATCTTTAGCATTCGTGTCGGATCCAGCAAGAACCAAAATTTGAACAACTCCTAAATTACCCCTGATGCATGCTATGTGCAAAGGAGTACGGTTACTCTTGGTCTTACATTCGATATTTGCTCCTTGTTAAATTAGTATATCTACAATATGGGTGTGACCTTCGCTTGCTGCTACATGCAAGGGTGTCCATCCATCAGAATTAGTACAGTTTATTTGGAGCTAGCTTTGAGATTAGCTCAAACTTTTTAGAATTTTAAGAATAACCTGCTGATCACCTACTTCTGCAGCTACCCACAGCTGTCTTGCAATATCCTTAATTTGACTTTGAATTTTGACATTTTTCGAGTAGTAGTTATCTTTAATGTCATTTTATGGATTATAGCCATTATCTTAAGAATCCTTAGACAACCTCTACCAATTTTATGCATTCTGAGAACTGTCTTTAGAACAGTTATTGACATTCTCTTCTTCATCGCTGAAGAATTAACGGTCTAGTTTATTCTTATTTTTAGGAGACAGAATAATTGGATCCTGGTTTTTGTTATAAGCATAGGTCTATTTTGTCAGTTAAGGTTAATATGACTATCTTTTTTAATTAAAGATATTTTAGTTTTTAGTTGGATTGTTAGGCGATAGAATTTATTATGGAATATTTGAAAGTGCTAGCGAGGATTGATCTTTTATAGAGTCTCGCTTTCCTATCTGTTAAGTAGTGTTAAATTTGTGGATTTTTTCATCGTCATGGTTGCGAGTACGGGTGACCATTTAATGCTACATAATCGCTTGCTGGTTATTTTGTATTATCTAATAGTAATTATTGATTTAACGAGACATGGATCCAAAACTTTAATGGCCATTCTCAAGCTTCGCACTGTCGCGTCTCTGTATTTTGCTGCCTTTCTCATACTACATATTAGATGGGCTCTTATTCTGCTACAATAAGTAATCCTAGTGTGTCGTATTAATCTTATTTTTATAGGAGCCTTGGCTTTAGTTGCTCTTGTTAAGCTTAAGCTTGCTTTGTTCTTAACTGACTCTCCTTTTTATAAAATTCATAAGGTTCTGTTACGACTCATTTTATTTCCTCATATTCATGAATGTCAGTTCCTTAATATTTTAGATGTTATTACTCACGTTTTGGCTTTATAAGTTAATTTTGGATTGTGACACCGCAAGATTTTTAGTCGACTACGGCGCTTTCTTCAATTCTTGAGATAACATAATATAGTTCGAAACTCCACCTGCTTTCATCTGTACATTCTATGCATCAAATGTGTTGTTGTCGGAAACTGAAGGATAATCTTAGTTTTTATGCACAACAAACATTTTCTATTGGTTTAAGGAGGCTTTAGAGTGACCTTTGGGCGAGTTAGACTACGCTCCTAATCTGTGCAGATTTAACTGATTTTCTTCAAGATAAATTTTTCCAACTTTCACCTGATTATTGCTGGCGATGTTAAAATTTTACTTCGAAGGTTTGGTGTATCTCTGGTTTGTGGAGGGGCTGGTTGATTATTAACTTGAATAATTAGGTTTGAATTTTGTAATAGCTTAGCCATGGCTCTATCTCTTCTAGATGACCTAGCCTTAAATGTTTGTGGCGTGCTATGAATTCAAGTATGTAGTCATTTATCTATATTATAATATTCGCTGAAAATAATTATAAGCTTAATTTATTAAGATTTTACTATAGTAGTATTGATTCTTAAATTGATCTCTCTTGGGGTTTTGGGGTTTTGGGGTTTTGGGGTTTTGGGG